CTTCCTACATTTATACCTTTACACCTCATTTTCTGATTTAGTTCTTAGAATAAGAACGCGTTGTATAAAACCTGCAGGGAATCTCAAGACATACCGATGCCTTGCAATCTCTTGCGGCTGCAACCACAAGTAGGTTATTTTTCTCTAAAAATTAAACTTTATCTACTTCCGTCAAAAATTGTTTGTTACGCCACTGGTTACAACAGATTCGATTATCAGCTCGCACGAAGCAGTGGGTATTAACGTTCTCTGAAGTATTTTCCAAGCGATCGATTGATTAAAATAAGACGGTATAATCTTCTTTAACTGAGAACTTCCAAATCGGTTCGATTCGCCGCCAGGTCGACACCTAGAGGTGACCGTTCGCCGGCCGGCCGGCATTCGACGTCGACGGAATCTCTCGCAGGGGTGTTTCGAGAGCAAAAGACAGCCGTGCTTCGACTCGTCGACACGCAAAGAAACATCGAATCAAGAGGGGAGGAACATTCCTCGTAGGTCAGGGCATAGAACGATTTTAGCTACGGTCTTTGGGCTGCTCGTGTCTCGCGTCGCTTCGCGGCCAGCTCGTGTCAAGAATCGTTTAATTTCGGCGGATGCCCATACCATTAACCATTATCGTGGATTTTCATTCACATCAATTCTACTATAAACGAGGGGGAGCAACCTCTTCAATCTGCATCTGATTTAGAACGTAAATTTTTGTATGTATAATGAATGATTTTTTTTTTTTTTTTTTTTTAACGTCTCCAAAGGGTTCTAGGTCAATCTGACATCTATAACGGGAGGTTCGTCCTATTTAAAACAGTACGAATCATAGGAAATAATTTGTTCTTTTTCATTTTTAATTTGAGTTTCGATAAAACAGAAAATACAAGCGCAAATTTCCCCTAGATGAAACCTACTCAACTATAAAACTACGTATCGTTTCGACTCGGAAATTTCCACACGTGTCAACCAACAACGATTCCTACCGTACATTTTCCAAGATCGTATTATCGTTACCGGCGTCACTGGAAATTTGTCTCGCGACGTATTCCACCTACGATAGCCTCTACGATCTCGCGACGCTCGGCATGATAACCTCGAACACTGAATAAATAACCCAAAGAAAGAAAGGGCTAAAGATAACGATGCTACCCAGATAATAGTCGCATTGCTAACGAACTCATCGCTGAACCAGTTACATGCAATTAAACGAAGTCGGACGGAAGTTATGGAAAAAGCATCGTCCGATGGGTGAATACGTCGCGATAATTCAATACGCGAAACACCCAGGTCTGCCGATAAAATTAACATTTGCAACTTCTTGTTAATCTATTCGTCCTTCTGGCTATTCTCGACGTTTCTTTTCGAGCCACTTCACTGTTCACGAATGGGACACGCTGCTAAATTGTTTATACGTTGTTGATGTCAGAGACCCTAGTCGATATGATCGAGGCCAGATCGTCATGAGTCGTCGATATCGTGATTTCGAAATAGTAGGCTTTCCTTACATGATCTTTCTCGACTTTCGTGCGCGCACGCGGTATTTCGGTGATCGGTCGGACGGTCGGTAAAGAGGCGTATCGAAAACTCGGAAGCTATCGGAATAACCGAGCAGCGACGAGGGCACGAGCGACTATCTTGTTACGTAACAAGGCAAAGATACGAGGACACGACGCTACGATCATTTTACGGAATACATTTTGCTTTATCCTTAACGCAATCTTTCGAACCGTTTCTTTTCTGTGCGTTCCCTCGTATCCCCTCCTTTTTGCCTTGCTAGATTTACACGCGTGCACGGATAACGAAAAGAAACAATGCAAATTAATAAACGACGTCAATTTGAAGACTAACAATGACAGACGCGGTGTGCCTTCGTGCGTATCGTTTCTCTTATTTCCGACCTAATCATTCTAATCACTCTTCATTGTTCCTTTTTCCATTGACCAGCGAATCGATCGCGGAACACACAGTCGTACAAATAAAAGTAACGTATCTGTAACACGAGTAAGGCACACTTGCTTTACGATGCAACGAAAGAGGAACGTTGGACGTACAGAAACGAGTGCTACAATGTCGAACAAGGCCAATACGTTTGGGTTTCGAAAACCGCAGAGACTATGTGTAGAAGAAAGCGATAAAAACTTTACTACTACGTCTACTTTGTACGTAACGTCTAGGAAGAAGAATGAATCCTGAAATATCCATGAAATTACAATGATCCGTTGCGTCTGATAATTTCGAGGACTACCGACGCGAATAATAAAATTAAATCGAGCAAACAACTCTGAACTATTTTCAGCCAGTAAGTAAAAACGTTTTCTAGGTGCCAGATGTAGCCGCGCCTCTGGCATTCGAATCGGATCAATGAATTAATTTCTATAGCATGAAAAATGATCCAATAATAATCAGCATTACATACTTATATTACTCGTGCCGTTACTAGTAGCACTATTATTACTATTATTAGGTGTGTTACACAATACTCTCGTGTCTTCTCAAACGAGTTTCGCTGGCCATTGACCAAAGCTAGATAATGTCGTGTATCGCGACCCATTTACCGAGTTGCTAATCTTGGACTCTAATCCGAACTTGATTTTCCCCCGTTTATACCAACTGAACATTTTCTCATTCATTCAATGTTCACGGACACTGAATCGCAATTAAGTTGTGTTCATACATTACGTATCGCGAATGATTTAGTGAATTATTGTCAATGTCACCTTTTCACGACTGGCTACAATTTCATGACATAACCAACGCATGCTCATAAATCAACATTGTATCGTCATATATTTTTTTCTACGCAAAAATGTTTATACGCGATATGTACGTACGCAAGAAGAAAAACCAAGACGGAAATCAAACACCACGATTTCGATTGAAGAAACGAGACACGCGTTTGTATGTTTCCGTTAAATTTGTCCCGTATCTTTATCTGATCTGTTACGCAAGACTAGCATCAATGCTATGCAAGTATATTCGGCATATTTATTCACGCCGGAAGTACGACAAAACCATTCATATAAGTGAATTCAACATTTTACGACCACTTTACAAATTCCTGCAGACATTAATCCGTGTAACACGTGCTCCTTCAACTTTTTCAAAAGAGGTTTAATGTACAAATACGATCACTTAGCAACGTTAAAAGCACGTACAGCTTTTATCTGTGGCAAAATTACGAGGTAGAATGTACAAAGTTGCTGCCAACGATATCAAACAAAATCAATGAAACGTACGCCGAGGTTTAATTTTGGTAATATATTATATTCGAAATTAATCGAATTAAAGGTTATTTCTACTCGAGTTAAAAATAATATACGTCGGTGACGTAAACGAAATATGGTTAAAAAGTGTCTACTAGATGTATCGTGGATTGATTTTATCGCGTAATGTTTGACAAGTTGAGAATCATATAGTCCTTTAATTTTTGTCCAAGGATGAAAACAAATAGAATGAAAAAGTAGACATACTATTGCAGACAGGCAACAGTCGTGGCGGCGAGGAGACAAGGAAGCGCGCGTAAACATATACACGTATGATAGGTACGCGTGCACGCAAAGTGAACGAGCCAGCCAGGCAGGCAGGCAGGCAGGCAGGCATGGAAGGCACGACGGAAAAAGCAGAATGACAGTTGGTAATTATAACAAAGAGCGGATTCCGTGCAGCAAGGCTGGTGAGCCCCGTGGAAGTAACGAAGTCCGCGCCATGGCGCGCCACCACGTGCCCGAGCAGAGCTAGCCTGTTCGCTGGCTGCGTGTTGGCTAGGTAAGCCACGCGCTGCAGCATCATAGATGATGGCGTCTCACGATATAATTTTCAACGTGCAAAGAATACGAAATTTTGTACAGAAAAAAAATGATATACTCTATCGAAATCGCGAGATACGAGTCGCGAGACTACATTCGCAGGCACACACTAAACTATTCGATCGATTTACACTCACCAATACGATGGTCCATAGCGAAGAAATCGAAGAAAACGTAACTCACACGCGGTGTAGGTAATGTCCTCGTGCCAGAAATGTTTACTCGTTACTCAATGAACTGTCAAACAGAAAAGAGTTGGTTGATAAGAAGATGGAAATACACTGTCGGATTACCATTACAAGTCACCCCGCACGTGTCGTAGCCACGCAAACTGAACGAACTAAAAATGAAACAAAACAGAAGAAAAAAAAAATGAAAGAACACGAGATCCGAGCGACAATACGTGGGGACGCTTGCACGCGGAGCGTGATGGGAACCGCACGATCGCGAAATCTGCAACGTTCGCGTGAAACAAACTAACCACTTCGGTTTTCGCTGGTTATGGGATTCGGATGTACGAGTGGTAGTGAATGGGAGAATAGCACTGAAATACACCGTGTCCACGCCGTTGAACAGTTATCACACGGCGAGTTCTTCGCGGCTTCTTTCCTTCTCGCGTTTTCTTCTCAGACTAACTGATACGTCGTTCGACAACTCACCGGCGTATCTCTCTGTAACTTTTCTGCGTTTTGATCCCTCGGGCTGCCTTTTCTTGTACGATTTACTTTCCGTAACGACTAATTTCTCGATAACCGTGACAGATAAACACTACGAATGCGGCGGGTTCTCGTGTCGTGTGCGCCAGCGTCAGTAAGATTGACAGTCGGCGCTGATGACAGACAGGTGCGCCCGCCTTCCGGCCTAACAAGTCGGCAACCTACCGTCGTGCTTGCGTATCTCTCTCTGCTCCCTCGCATACCCGCCTTGCCCGCCAAGCCGTTACATATGTTACGCCATTCGTCTCCATTTTAGCATACTCCCGCCATCTAGCGGCGTCTGCTCGAAATACACGGAACGTTACCTCGTCTCTCGCACTCTTTACGTTCATTTTAAATGAGAATATAACATTACTTTCTAATCCCTTTTGAGTTTTCTAATCTTTTTTTCGAAATTATAAAAAAAATCGCATACAACGATATAAACAAGGAAAAGGGAAAAAGAGGGTGAAAACTATCTAAATGATAAAAATAAAGACTCACAATATGCTTCGTTTTGCTTTCCACTTGTATGTTACATTCCATCTAACAATTTAATTAGACACTTTCGATGTTCTAAGTACTTCACGACGAAACAGTAAATTCGAAAAATTACCTTAGATAATGCTTCTCTCGCAGAAACATACATATTCGATAAACTTGCCTATGCATTCTTCTAAGGAATAGAGATATGTCTTTGACGTATAATTCAAAGCAAATCAACACGTGGAGTTGGGATATATTCACGTTCTCCGTTTGCTATTTGACGTTTGTGTTCCTTGGTCATTAGATACAGTCGTTTGCTTTGTTTCGCACGAAATACACATTCGTACATATCCTTCATGAATAATTCACATTTTTCATTCAGTCTGTACCATCCATAAGCCTCCAAGCATTTTACAGCACGTAATTCGAAATCTCTGCATCGTGGCAGATCTTGAAATGAGTGCATACTACCTTCCGCTGGTGTTAAAGGGGTTGTAAAAGCAGGTGTAGCAGCATAGGCTCCATAATGTCTGAAAAGCATAAATTACAGTTTATGTACTGTTCATAACGCAACAACGAAGTTAAATATCGTATTTATACCATCTATTATTGTTTGTCATTAACCTAACTTTTATGTATTATTTTTGACAATTTATTCTTTTCATATTTTGAAACGAATGTACGCTCAAAAAATTAAACGTTAAAACACGTTACATGACTCTTACCTAGTTGGTTGATTTTTTGGTTCGGAATAAAAGAATTTTTCTTCATATGATTTTTCTTCAGAGAAAGCCATCTTAAATTTATATAACACTGTGTCACCGATTACCTTTACTCAATCAGCCATGTTAGCTGACGTTTTGGTGTTAGGTCTACCACAATATTTTGCGCATGCACGAGAAAATTGCGACAGTGACGTGCTTTCATTCGATAAACGATGGTATCGTGAGAACCCCAATTTAATTTTTTTTTGAAAATTATACAGATTTTTCAGGAGTAAATATTAATGAAATCATATTCTTAATAGGACCACATTTTATTTAACAATATGAAATGTAAAATGAAAATATGGCTTTATCTTTCTTTTATTATTCGTAACTTCATATTTATAATAGAAAGTTTGTTATTTGCTCTCGTAGGTGCATTATTCGTAATTTTTCTTGGATTTTGTCATTTAAAAATTTAGGTAATTCGGTAAATTTCTGATTTGAATTAAAAAAAATTAGTTTACAGCCATAACATAGATACTTTTTAATTGTATCTGGTTGTAAAGGTTGTGTGCGAGGAGGTGTACACGCGGTATTATTACATCGACAATGTTTCTCTTCCGAGTCGTTTACTTCTTTCGAAGTCGTGCTTGACGAAGAATCCGTAAACGTTGAAACTAATTCAGAAAATATCCTAGCTTGTACAACTGAAAGTTGCCCTTCTTGTATAGAATTCAAATCTAGACTCAATTCGCAAAGTACACAAGTCTCGTTAACGTCAGCGTTAGCGTCATTATCACTCTTAACATTCACCTTACTATGTTCCTCTATCTTTGTGCCCAATTTTTCACTTGTACGATATATCGTGGATACGGTACTATAAAATTCAGAATCTAACTCATGAACGAAATTCTTTGTAGTGCTTCTTATGGAAGCAGGGAAAGGTTCAGTATAATTTATGGAACTAAGAATTGGAGTTAGTTCACAGCACTCTAAATAACCAGCTATATCTTCTTTTGTAAAGTCTCTGAGTGGCCTAAGTAGAGTTACATCTGGACATCTTGTATCAGAGAAACCAACATTAGAAGACAATTGATAGCCTCTTCCTGTTGATACATCTGTCAGCACTTTTATTGCAAGATCAACAGATGTATCAGCAACAAAAACTTTATTGCAATTAAGTTTGTGGGCTATGGACACAAGCAATTTGCGTCTTAATTGTCGCAATAATTCATCTTTTGCAGTATCGCTATCTAAACTATTGAACATTTTTTGCATGACTGCATCATTGGAAGCTGTATTTACACCCCCTGCATTTATGGACTGTATCTCTTCGCAAAGAATATTAGTTGTATCTTCTGTCAAAGGCACAACATATGTTGTTAACTGTAGATTATCTGCTTCTTTGGCTAATGCATTTCTAATAAGTTCTCTTTCTTTAACTGTACGTCCTTTCACCATACCATCTATTCAAAAGGCAAAGCATATTAATTTAGAAATATAAAAAAAACATAAAATGTCCATTACATTCTCTTACCATCTACATAGAGTATTTTACATTGGAACTTGAGTTTTTTATTAGCTGGTTCACTTTCATTTGCCTTGATAAGATGTATAAGTACAGTTGAATTTGCTTTTCCAGAATGCTCTATAAGTATGGTATCACTTGGACGTACCAACTTTGATTTACCAAGTGTGGCTCTGAACTTATGCGTCAACATGGATAGGAAGCAAATTTTACAATATCTATGTTTACCCCTTAACGAGATTCGTACATCCTGACAACCACATTTTTTGCATAATTCATTTGTATTAGCTGTGTGAGCAGCAATATTGGTGGAAGCAGTTATTCTGTAAAAAATAAAATATAATAAGTTTTAAAGACGATATACAAGTGTTTTTCTTTAAAAAGAAAACATAGAATTAGTGTATAACGAAATACTCACGTATCTATCGTTGTTTCATCTGTTTCATAGGTATCATATTCGAGCGCGTTTAACGTACACATTGTTCCTTTTCCTTAATCGCGATCTTTTATCAGTAATGTGGAACGAATTTTAATTCTGTAATTATTCGTTAAAATAAACTTTCTTATAATCCTCTTTTATATTCTTACTGTGATCTGTACTTACGAGTCGATCACAGTCGATATTATTTAGAACTTAGGTTAACTGAACACGTCCATTCATTGTAGATTTGTGTATACAGTCTTTACTACGTATTCGTATTACTTGTACGTATATATTGTTACACGTCAATTTGCACTCGATTCATGATTTCGTACAAATTTCACACAATATTCCTAAATAATTATTCTGTATTTCGTGCTCAAAATCATTAGCCATAGAAAAATCGTTTTAATAAAATCTTAATTTTAAGAGGAACATACTTATATATATCTTGTATACTAAATATCTTTTGTTATTTCATAATTTCTATTCGATATCTTTTCAGTAATACCTCAAACTTTTTGTTTGTTACATAATAGTTATATACGTCTGTTACTTTATTGATATGTTTAGGTTAGATTATTACCATTATTGTTTGTTCTCAGATTATTTTTGTTTTTATTTTTAATTACTATAGATGTAAATATTATTTATTATATTTTAAACGTAAAATTATTCGATGTTTGTATGCTTACAGTTAAAAGATAAAGTAATGGATAGGTTATAAAGGTGTACATAGTAAAGTGTTAGTAAAAAAACTATACTTATCGAAAACTGGTATAGTTAAAATTTACAAAAATGTTAGGCGTATTAAATATGATGAACACATTCTCCAGGTAAGTATTATTAAATTAAATTTAAACTTCAAGTATATTCACAATTATACATGTAATTGATTATTGATGCAGGTTGTCTGTGCATTCAATTGTTAATCAGTGCAATATTTCCACATGCATGTACCCATTATATTTTCGAGCCACTGATGCACTCTTGTAAGTAATTCAAAATTTATTCCTTTAATGAATTACATTTCCAGTACCTTACATTGTGATTATTTTAGAGGAGAACCACTTAAAAAGAAGAAGAGATTAGATCCTGCAATCATCAGAGCTAGAGAGGAGAGGAAAAGAAGAAAACTAATGAAACAAATTCGTCGGGGTGAAAAGCACGCCAAGCAGTTGAAACCAATTGTTGAAAATGAAATAACAGCAGACTTCCTCGAAGAGAAAGAGTACTTTACATATATCCAGTACTTCTTTTGTTTTGCAACATGATTACTCACAATTTAACATTTTACAGTAAATTAATTCGTCCTCCTACTCCCCTGTCAGTGGAAGAAATAGAGAGGAGAGCAATATTACAAAAGGAATGGACTAGATTTAAAAAACGAGAATGGATAAATGATGTGCGTGTTATGGAATCCATTGTGAACTCACAGGAAAAAGCACTGGCAGAACTAAAGGCAGCCTCAGAGGAACTCTATGCAAAAGCAATAGAAGTATGTATAATTCTACCTTGCATTAGTAATTATCAAACAAACCATTCTGTAAGAATAACATTTCTTTTTCAGATTGATGACTCATTTGTACCATACAGTGCAGTTGGACCGGTACATACTCCACCAATAAAAAATTATGATAGTCCTGATGGTTCTTATGCAGATATTACTATGGTATACGACGGGGAAAAGTAAGCGAGTAGATGAGTGTAATGTGTCTTAGATAAAGAATTACATGATGCAAAATAATCGATAAATCCACAAATATTTGGTTTCTTAGACAAAATTCATATTGAATGGGAAGTTATGTGCGCTATTCATAAATTTTGAATTTATTACAATAAATGGTATTCGTTGCTTTTTATGTTATTTAATCAAAACGGTAAATACAGCATTGGTTCTAGACCTAATCTGTTATTTTCATACACATACATAGGTATGCATGCGTGTAATATATTTTGGTGTATACATACACAAATAATACTGAGTATGTCATCAAAGTATATACAATAAAAACATCTTGACTTAACTAATGGTTATACATGAATAAGTGAATTTCTATCTTGTTAACCTAGACCAGAGAATTCATTGGAAAGTGTAAAAGTAACAAAATCTTAGTTGACACGATACAACAAGCCAGTCAACGTACGAGTATCAGTTCTCTTTTGCATGTAGGACACGTGTCGCTGGCTTTGAGGCATTGCCGTAAACAGTCTGCATGGAAAAGATGATGGCAAGGTGTTATCCTCGCCTTGGTCATATTGCAAAGACAAACAGCGCAAACGTCGTCAAATTCTTCAATTTCCTCGCGCGTAGCCTTCCTATAACGATTCAATATTTCACGTTCGCGTTGTAGCGTCGCTCCAGATTGTTGCACGAGATCTTTCAATCGCAAATAAACGTTCAGGTAGGTAGCGACGAGCAGAAACCTCCAGGATGCCACCGGTACGAGTATCAAGATAAACAAGGCGGACGTAACGATGGTGAATATCCTTAATATTACAGGAGCGTAAAGTTCTTCCATACTTTCGAAAGTTTCTGATTGAAAGAACTTCAAAATCGACGGAAACATCTCGGCGAAAACTTTCTCCGTCGCTGAATAATAAGTCCATGTTATCACTGTGTAAGATGCCGATGGCCTATAACAAAAATATACGGAACGATTTGATCGGTATCCCTTTGCGTTTTTTCTTCTTTCTTATATCTCGTCTCTTATCCTGTCCTTTACATTACTTCATCAGCGGTTTACTTACTTGTAATTCTCAAGACCCTGCTCCAAACCAAATACGAGAAGCATAAATGTTATCGTTACGATAAAGGTAACGGCCTTGGTCCATTCGAGTACTATTTTCGTAGCGGACATAGCTAAATGCTTTATGTTGGATCTTTCCGTGAGTGTCACGTACGGTGACCAATCTTCTTTCTCGATCAGTTCCTTGATGTAACTAACGCAGTAAGTAATCACATTGTAAAACATCAACGTGTAAAGGCACGTCATTTTCGGCTCTGTTATCAGAACACGATCGGCCACCGCTAGGAATACAATTTGATTCAACATCACAGATAAATTCTTCATTCGAAGAAAAATGGTTTCCGCTCGGTCGATCGGCTCGTAAAATCGTTTTAGAAATCGCCGGATCATCTTGATGGGACCTTCGCAAAAGAATCACCAAACACGTGGGAAAGGGAACATTTCGATCGAGTCGTTTGTTGTAATTGATAAACGCAATTAACTGCATTCCTCGTTATAGCCGCGTCTCCCCTTCTCTCTGATAACAAAATTTCATCTTACAAAGGAAGATCGTGGAAGACAATGTAAACGTCATATATGTATCTTTTAGATTATAACTCAGATCACAAATAGAAATAAAAAAATGTTTGGAGTAAAAATTATATCGCGTTAGAGGATTTATAGATTGGTAGCAAAAAGTCCAAGTTTGACTACAAACATTTCCCGATTGAAGAGGACAGGTACGAATTCAAAATGGCTTCGATATAAGGGATGGTCCCTCTCTTTTTGGAGCGATGAACATTTGTGCAAAGCTCTTGCGAAATCGTCGTCTTCGCGAATGCTTTCCATTCAGTTTTCCCAATGTGGCAACTCGATGGATACATTATGTTAATAGGACTGACAGGGTGACTTAGGGTGATCGTTAATCGAGCGTAACGAGTGCAAATAACGGGTCGATGAATGATCATCTTCGTTTTTCGTAACGCGTAAGCGAGAACATTTGCATATTAATAGACGTCCGTCAAGAAAGTCCGTGAAAATATGAGGAGACGTGTCCGGGGGAGTATTTCATGACGGGGGTGGTTCGACCGGAAAACGAGGATTTTACATGGCAACCGGGATCGTCTCTTGCTATGAAACGATACAGGTGTGTATAACTATACATACAACCGTTTCTAGGATGAAAGGGATGCGCGCGCGCTTTTTCTCTCTCTTTCCCTTTGTCCAGGTCCCTATAAAACAAAGCGTACTTTGCTTCAATGGCACATTCAACGTCTTTCCGTCTTACAATAATCGCGTCGTCAGTTCTTAACGTTTCCGTGTAACAGGTAGAGATCTATTAATTTCTACTATTGTTTAGAAACAATGGGAATATTCGACTATTATTAGGGTGGGCATCGAGTGTAATTAACTTTCGCAACGATCATTTGTATTCGTCCATATCGATGGCGTGGCGTTATTGAATTTGCATAATAAAGAGGTAACAGGAAAAAGGGGCCAGAAAAACAGGTGAAAGAGGGAGGTGGTCGGAGGGCGTGAGGCAAGATAGCGCGATAGGGGTTGCGGTATCGAAATTGATTTCAAATTGATTCTAAACGTCTCCGAGGAAATTTTTTGAATTTCGATAACTGCTATTCATACTTTACACTTAATCAGTTTGTCGGGGCTGCAGGTGCAGGAAGAAAGTAGAATAAAAGTGCTTCGAAGCGCTGTTTATACTGGATAGGTGGATGGATAGGTGAGGAGAGAAGAAGAGGCGATGGGAGGAAGGAATACTGAAAGAGAATCTGGCAACGATCGCAACCAACGCAAATCCTTTTGCTATTCTTAGTATACGAAACAGAGGGGGATGTCCTGCTTCATCCTCTTTGACCATGAAGCTCATGGTAATCTGCGATTCTTCGTTCGTTAGCATTCGATTCCCCTTCGAACCACGCATATACGATATCAAATATTGTATAGAACACTATATACATAGCGCAACTATAACGGGTGAAATCGGTGGTATTATGACACAGTTTAGAAAAAAGAAAGAGAATTCTGTCCGTCTGTCTGTTTGTTCAGGCTAATCTTCGGAACTACTGAACCGATCTAAAAAATTTTTTCAGTAATAAAAAGCTACACTATCCCCGAGTAACATAGGCTGTCTTTTATTTTGACAAAAATACGTTTTCAATTTCGAAATGAGACATAAAATAAATAGTATTCCACGCGGTTGAAACCGTGGGGCACAGTTAGCCACGAATAATTATAGCAACGCAGAGACCGTTTGTTTAGAAACTGTACCATATAGAAGTAATAGTAATTGCGTGTAACATCTGAAACGATTTTTTCATGACATAACTATAAATAGCCATCGAAGAAGTTATCGTTCATTTACATGAGGCAAAAGGAGCGCGAGGAGTGTAACCCTTGATTTAATTATTTATCTTTGACAGAGTAAAGTACATCCGACGAAGATTAGCAAAAAAAAATGTGTATATATATCTATATATATATATATATAAGAGAAAGTATCGGAAAGAATTTCAGGAATTGTAAAGAAAATAAAAATTTATCAGGAATCTGTGCCAAACATTCGCGGCGCAATGTGGAAATTCGAGCAGTTTTACGTGACGGTGGTCAAGAATCGTTCACCACGAACGCGAACCGGATTCGCGAAAACGTCGTCGACCGATATGGTAAAGCAGCAAGGCGGTAAAGCGACGAAAGGTCGAAGAGCACGAGGAAAATCGTCTCTTCGCTTCTAGCTATCGATAAGTTACTTGGCAGCAATCTTTGCCCTCAGAATCGTCCAAGAGGCTCGTGAAACCGCGACTAATACGCCCGAACGTTAGGCCGTCCGCGTCGGAGGGATTTGTGTTTGTCTCGCATTTATGCGCTCGCGTATCTCGCATACTACACCATGCGCCACAGCGCTATATGATCCAAAGAATGAAGGAATAGATAGATCGATCACCAAAGCGTATTCGAATCTCTCAGCATTTCCTCGAACTAGTTGAAAACGGCAATCTACTCTAACAATACCCGGGCCGGGGCGGTCCTATTGGCAGATTATCGAGGACTTCCTTCGCTCGATACGTTATCGTTTGCATTCGTTTCGATCAGTTGTCGTTACGGTGTTAATTCTGCAGAAATGTTCGCATTCAGATATCGCATCGAGTAGGGACGGGCAATAGCCAGAGATAAGCTCTCGCTATTTCGTTAAGAAGCTTTTCGTTTTCGGAGAATCATTGGGATCTTCTTCGACGCGCGCGGAACCCTCGACAAACAGGTCGAGAAATGGATATAAGTGATTTTAGCCACCTTTACGGTAATCGAGCGTAACGATTTATGGCGATAGGTGTGACTGCGTCTTACCCCTTCAGAGTCTCGTCGAATATAACGCGATACAAGGGTGAAAATATAGTTGGAACGGTGGTACATTATACACAAGTGGCTAACATAAGTAGGTGTTTTTTTAGGTGCAACATGTATGAAATTATTACACATAAAATATGAACGTGAGAATACAGTCAGTCCCGTAAATATTCGTACCCTCTATGTCTATCGAAGGAATTTGTTTAAATTAAATGGTAGGTTTGATGTTTTCAAGTGTATGTTTGTATGAATATGTTGACGTATATATAAATTCATGTACATATTTATAATGAAGAATTCATTTGGTAATATCGAAACTATTATTTAATTTAGTCAAACTTCTTCGATAGACATAGAGGGTAGGAATATTTATGGGATTGACTATAGCTTCTTATACAATAGTGCACAGAATCCTCGTCGATGTAATTTACACTAATCGCTAATCCTTACGCACGATTACAAAGGGCCAAAATAAACTCTGTTATTTCAAGGGGAAAGTTGTCACCTGTGCGAATAATCGAGACACCTGCTCGAGGAAGAAAAGGTCTCGGTGACTTTCCCATAAAAATAGCAAGGGTCATTTTGCCCCGTGGGCGTACACGCATATAGTTCGCGTCAGAGATGGGCAATATTCCTGTTCGAATAAAACTTAGCAATTAGCGAAGTATTTCATTTTATAATTGGAATTAAAATTAGCATTCAACGAGTAGATTATATCTCATTTGTTAGTCGAAACTTCTAGGTAAGAATCTTGCCTATCTCTGGTCTGACGATGATATACACATTTCGCAATTAGATCGACTGATTATATTCGAATTCTGTTTCAGAACCACCAAGGGAAATGCCGTCCACCCACACCGTTTGCATAGCCGTACTACTAGTCGCTGTCCTTCTGTAAGAATTTACAATGTTTAAATATTCGTGTAAACGATCGACTATCACGGAAGTTTAGTCGACTCGAGTGTTGTTGCACTCTTATCGATACAGATATACACTCTATCGAGTAAACTTCCAATCGGTATCAACTTCTTTGTTTTTTAGTAACAGTTTAATACTGACATGAACAAAGTAGTGACCACGACACTTACAGTCAGTCCCATAAATATTCGTACCATCTAGGTCTATTAACGAAATTTGTTTAAATGAAGTGATAGGTTTAATGCTTCCAAAAAAATTTTTTATCGCTACTGTATAAACGTGTAAAGTTTATCAGCATTTATTTGACAACATCGAACCTATTATTTAATTTAGACTGTATATTGCTTTGCCCCAGCATTAAACAATCGAATTTCTATCATCTCTACCCAACCGAAGAACTTAAAAAAAAAATATATTGATCTGTCTGCTTAGGTTTGACGAGGGCTGCGCGTACCGATCGACCAAGCTACTGATGCTTCGACTGAGCTGTCAGAATCAGAGCTGCGGGGATTGCAGCCAGTGTCCTTTCGGTACCGCGAAATCGCCTGTTTGCGGCGAAGTTTGCGCAAAGGTTGGTCGCGTCGAGCCGATCCTTTTATTCGCGAAATTTGCAATGGAAACCATAACGGAATCGAGCGGTCTCTTCTTTTTTTTTTTACAGGGCCCTGGCGACATGTGCGGAGGGCACCGCGACGAGTGGGGCATCTGCGGCGAGGGTATGTTTTGCAATTGCAACAGATGCGACGGCTGCAGCGTGAAGGACCTCAACTGTCCGTCGACGTTGGGATTAACGAAGCTCTGCATACCCGGCAAGCACACGCCAAATTTCTGAGATCTGATCATCGTTAACCGGACGGACGCCCGATCATCGAAACGAAACGTTGAAAATCTTTGTTAAACTTAGGCAAGACCGTAGGCGAACACGCCGAAGGCTTGGACAATTTTTATTTCGCTGGTGGTCGTCGAGTGCACGCTCAATCCGTTAATAGAGTAACCGGAATAGGACGATAACTATGGACGCGGATCGAAGGACTCGAAGGTAGCCAGAGCGAACCAGAAATTAGGGTAAACGACTGTCTGCACCTGTCTGCTCTACGCGGGATAAATAACTACGCGACCAGAGAATACGGGAGGCACAATGTACTAAACGGGAACAGGACAGGGGAAACGATGATTCGATGATTCGAAGATGACAGAAAGAGAGAAAGTGAGCGACGGTTAAAGGTGGAACGGATTCGCAACAATTTTTACCAAAACGTCGTGTTAACATTTACATCCGAGTGATACATTTATTTGCGTTTCATCAATTACAAATCGAGGAACACCTTCGATCTCGAAGGGATCTCGCTGACATTAACTAAATAGGATCTAATCGGGTGCATTCGTTCTCTATCGTTCACACGTTTTTTCACCGGTTCGCGCGCGAACCGGTGTACAATATTTCTCCGAATAAAAAAAGGAAAACAAACTTTTCTACGTTGAACGCTTCGACGAAAGAAAGTAATCGTGCCATGTATTAATAAAACGCATAATCTGTAATTCGTAAATAAAAACGAAAACAAAAGACTCGACCTGGTCAGTGAAAAACAAAAATGGAGACTTCGTTTCATACATCACTCCTCCCCCCTCCCCCGGTTGTTCCTTTATCCTTAACCTTTTGCACTCGAGGCATTTTTTTCTTCTGGTATCTACCAGCCACCCCAGATGATTTCTTAGCATTCTACTGCCACGAATGCTAACCTTGGATTGACTTCTCGAATGTGATCTCTAATTTGAGATTTGAGAATCGGGTCACCTTTGCTTCACCGATGATCATTTTATCGACACTTCGAGTTCCAAAGAAATCATACCTAAACAAATATCATTGCTGGTTGATTAGCTGCGTCAAACGTAGCGGTGATCGAGAGTCGCCTCTCGAGTGCAAAGGGTTAATTCCCAACGTTAGCAATTATCAACGCCTTGCCATCGGCTTCTCTCGATATACGGGTCGAAATTCTCGCACGAGGTGATCGGAGAACGGTGTGGCAACGATTTCCATCGGGTTTCGTTGTGGGAACGACAAGGTTTCTTTGCATACCTCCAAGACTCGCATCGAAGACACTTGGAATATCGAGACGCTCCTGTTCGACGTCACCGGGGGATATATATTCGTGTGGAGAAAAAGAAGACGGGAAAAAAACGAGGATATCGCGTTCCGAGGTTCGTCGTGACTCTACCGTTGGACGGCTAGAAATTAACTGGTTGCCCGACAAATATTTTCGCGCTCGCAATAGCAGTGTCAATGTCGTTGCCAACATTTCGTCGGTGGCCACCGACGATGCTATTTCGATTGTTCCCTGATAATTACGCATCCATACGTCGCGGATGGATCGCGCGTCGCTGCGTTGCAGAAAAGAAAGGCTATAGTTGGTAGCCGTTCGCTCGCAAACGCGGCCGAAAGAATGTTCGCGACGCATGCACGCCGGAAATTTCCTTTATTTTCGAGATTCCCGTGATCTTGCTCGCTCGCGCGAAAATAGAACGTTTAATTTTGGCAATTATTTGGACACCGTAATTCCCAGCGAGCCAGCGAGGACTCCTCCTCTTCGAAGACACCACACCACACCACCGGCGATTCATGGATGAGAAAACGCACTCGTGGCACGCGGATCGCGGTGTTTCTCCACTTAATCTAAATCGAATAAACGAGACACTTGGTTACAATTAAACACACCCCTGAAAACAAAAGGAACCAAAGGGGGGACGAAGAGCACACGCCAGAAGCAGAAGGGGCGCGTCATTGTTCGCTCTGTTTTAACAGTTTTCTGGCCTTGAAACCCCGAAAACCCGCTTGAATTCTAGTCGCAGCCTCGTGGGCCACTTGCTGTTTCTTGCGCGTCAGGAATCCCCGCACTCGAGCCTGGATTTTCGTCGCCGACTTCTCCTCCAGGGATTCCCTCGAAGGATTCCGTTCCTTCAGGGTGGAGGATCCCGCGTTCTCCAAACGTTCCCGGCGTTGCTCCCTTTCTATCACGCCCGGCGATTGCAGTTCTCCGTCCTTCTTCAACTCCTTCAAACGCTTCCGCGCTCGGTAGCCCCGGAAGTTGGCCTGGATCTTCGTCGCTGCCACGCTTGCTTTCGTCATCTCGTGATCAGAGTCCTGTACCATGACTGCCTCACAGAAAACACGTTTCTCTTCTCGCCCTCGACGGTGCGTGTCCTCGGTTCTACCTCATTCCCCAAGAACGAAACACCACGTCATCCTCGCGAGGGCAGTCCTAAGCCTTTCACCCTGATGTATCACGATGTCAAGAAACGAGGACGTCGCGACGGCAAGCTTCGGTTGTACCTTCGTCTTTTGAAAGGTCCCGCATGGCTCGGCTCGAGCAGAGATGACGATCGCGCGAAATGAATGAACGAATCGCAAGAGCTGAGAGCGAACCGGAGGATGCTGTTCCGTGGGAAGTACTGCGAATATCCACGAACACGCGTGCGATACTGCACGACAATCGCGTAACTCGTCGAAAATACGTAACCCCCTCGCGTTCGCGCATGCGTTTCCTTTTAAGCTCTCCAACTGGCTCCTGACTCTTCTTCCGCGATACCCGCAGCAGGTCGATTCTTTTTCCTGCTTTAACTTTTCCTTCGTACGCTGCGGAACGGTAGGCGTCATTCTCCTTGGCGATGAGCCGTTCTTGACATTTTCGTCGCCACGCTCCCGAAACGAGTGTGCAAGAATGTGCAGAAATAACATGTCTAATTTCGTATCTAGATTCTACGGGAACGATCGCGTCGATTCGTTCGACTCCGTCGTTCCGATCGGTTATGCCCACCTACGCGATTTGCACCTTCCGATCGAGGACGTGCACCGTTTGACGCGCACGGGACGGATACATTGGCACGGGAGCGATTCGTGGAACAAAGAAACTGATCGCGTACGTGGAAGAAATTATTATAAATATTTCATTTTTACCGTAATTACAGCTTTATCTCGTGCTCGTGTATCGCGGGAGAAAATAAACATTGGCGTGCTCGATAACGGGATGATATATGCGAATTCTATGACTCAGAGTGGATGTAAGCATCGATACGCCTATAGGTCGTCGCGCATTGTCTACCGAGAGTCTATTCATAGACTTTTTGATTCTCGTGTCTACCGCGATCTATTGACTGTGTCGTTGGCTGTCTATTTACAATGCTCAAACAAGGCTTTTGTTAAAGTGGTAAGCATCGAGTTGAAGAAGTTCTTACATCGCTATCCTATTATGGCACTATTATGAAACCGTGATAAATTAGGAAGTCGTGGATTCGAAGGAGCACGCCGTGTACGAAGCATACTTATATTATCTTGTTTACTAAATACGCCAAAGTATCTCGTTTCTTATTATGCCTGAATGCGAGATAATACAGCTATATTATGGTAAAAGTCAAATGTTTGCAACGACTTTTCACGTGTACCAGTTTTATCCCGAGATTCAGTGTTTATCGGTTTATTCTGAGAATCGCTCTGTGCCAATGTTTACGTTTGCCACTATATAAGAATATTTGCATTCCTAGGATAAGCCGCGCTTTCATTCTTACAGAGTATAAAAGCTCGTTTCGCCCAAAACAACAGGTCTTGAGTCTTCTTATCGTTTTCCATTACCGTTGCGTATTTGAAAAATATAGTTATTAGAATGTCTGGAGCAGTAGGTCCGCGTTAGAAATTAAACGAATAAAACCTGGATCCTTTTCTAACGAAGTTAAACAAAGCCAAACAGATGCTAGCAACGCTAATCTATTTATTTAGCTCGACAACTCGAAACACTGCTCCGAGAAGCGCTACAATCATATTTCCCAAACACTGTTATCGACAAACAGAACAAAAGCCAAGTTCTTTATTTTTCCCAAAAAACGTGTTAGTCTTTCGTGTTTGGAGATTCTATTTTCCCTGGTTCTGTTTTGTCTCGTGTATTTTCGTCGCTCTGGATCACAGAGGAGTCGGAGGACAAACTCTCGCGCAGATTAGGGCCGTTGTCGACAGATACTGTTTGATCAGCCGATACTTCGTCGCGATTAGTTTGTTGCTCTTCGGAAGAAGACGAAGTGGACGTACCAGCCGTTGGCGTGGGCTGTTGTTCCTCCTCGTCGTTGGGAATTTCTTCTATAAGGAGGGACTTGGGTGGCTCGTCGATGGCCAGCGGTTCGAGGACGTCGTCGATATTGGAATCGACCATTTTCTCCGTCAAGGAAGCAACGCTTGCATCGTCGTTCGCGTTGCTTTCGTCGAAGGCATGCTCGACGTGAACGAAACAGGGTGGGAAATTTAAATAGTACTTAGATCCGTCCGCCTTGTCCTCGACCGACTGAAAGGGATTCGAAAAGTCAAAGGCGAGGAAAACGTTGGCTCGTGGAGATTGCGAACTGAAACACGGCGCATTGGGCTCGAGCGTAAACCAGGGATTCACAGGCATGCTTTTCAAAGCGCGAACATCTTTGGCGGATAAGTTGCTCTTGGAGACTTCGAAGAGGGGCAATGGTAGAGAATCGTGAAATTCTCCAGTGTGCCTCATGCTAGCAGACATCGATGTATCTATTTGCTGGGTCTCTTTCTCATTCATCAATTGTTCTTCATCTTCCGTCTCTTTAGACTTGTCAGATATTTCACGTTCCTCAAATTTCTGTTCGCCGCTGGGAGATTCGTGGAGGTGCTCGTCCGAAGCAGCCGATACCTGAGTTTCTTTCTGATGGACAAGAGAAAGACTTGTTTTAAGTTTCATTTTCGTTTGTAGGAAAAAAAAAACAAATGTACTCACTTTGATGTTATCCGAAGTCGAAGAACTCGAAGAATCGCGAAGACTTTGTTTATCGATCTTCGTTAGTCGACCCTGGCCAACTACAAATTTTCGTGCCCCTTATAAAGGAAACATTCTGAACTTTATGATTGCACGACTATAATTATTGCTACATATATGGGAAATGTAAAACGAAGGGGAAGGGGGTGAAACGTTGCCAAAGATCGCGGAAAACCAGCTATAAATCAACAGAATCCTCTTTAGCACTATTTATCATTGTCTTAGGAACGAAATGACCATTACTGACGTCTAAAATAGACGTACAGCTGATCTGAAAACCCGAATATGCGAAGGATGACGAGCACAACCCATCCATTAAAAGCTAACCCAATTGATGGTAGTTTTCTAATTTTCATCTAATCGATATAAAAAAAAAAAGTAATACTTACAGTATTGAATTCTTCTAGCAGCCGCATCCAAGGTTTGTACATCTGGAGCGATTGACTCTTCGGCATCGCGTGGATCACCCCCCTTAGACTCAATTTTTTCGGGTGGATCTGGATTTTCCAGAGAGCTATCATTGATATCAGTTGTTACTTCGTCAATCGTCTCTGCGGACATCGAAGGAGCATTGTCTTCAACATTCTCTTTCTCTTCGGTATCAACCCTTTCTCCTTCATTTTCTTCCTTAACATCTCCTTCATAGACAGTTGGATTAAGTTCCATTGCAAGTTTAGTATCAACGTCTTCCACTTCTTTATCTTCTCCCTGACTTATTTTTTCTTGAGGAGAACTTGTCGAAGAGCGATTCGTAGATACCTCAACAGCTTCAGTCGCTACCATAGGCGTTATTTCACGAGCACATGGATCAAGTTCTGTAATCAGATCGGTATCGATCTTTGCTTTTTCTCCATTTTCCTCTTGAACATCGTCGACTTTCCTTCCTCGAGGAGAGCTTGCTGAAGAGCGATTCGTGGATACAACAGATTCAGTCGCTGCTGTGGATCCTACTTCGCGAATTCTTGGATCACCTGCTCTCTTTGTATTGTTTAACGAATCATTCGCTGCCATCTCCGTCTCTTCCTCCTGAGATGTCGGCGAATCTAGCGTCAAGATTTGTATCAACTCCTTCGCAATCTCATCTTCGATATTAGAAGAGTCCTTTCCATCTTTTTCATCGACGATAGCATCGTCAGATTTATCTACCGGCTCGATGGAACAGTTCTCGACTCCATTTCCTGTCTTGGCTTCTAGTTCACTGGAAGATTCTTTGTCCTGAAGCGATTTCCTTCTCGACGAGTCTTCGTCCAACGTCGCTTTCTTGCCTGAGGATGGAGTATCGCTCGAGGACAAGGTTTTCTCACCTTCCTGAAGGGTGACGTCGTCAGTTTCCTTCTCCGATTGATTTTCAAGGTTCCTCGAGTCGCTTCTGTCCTCCGTAGAGGACATCGTCGCGTCTCGAAGGGAATCCAAGTTCAACTCTGGCACGTATGGTCCAGGTGCTTCTTCCTGCTCGTGCTGATCTACAATGTTTCATGAAAAGTGAATTTAAATATACTAATACACATCGTAAACATACAGGCATGAATATTTATACCATCTAGGTCTATTAACTAGATCTATTAAATTTATAAATGCAAATAAATTTTTTATTATGAATGTACAAACGTGTAAAGTCAATTTGTGTACATACGCATAATAAAGCATTTATTTGAAAATATTATTTTCATTTAATTTAGACAGAGTTATAACATCGAACTTACTTGCTTCGCAGGGTCCTGACTGCACATCAGTCGTGGCACCAGGTGACGTGCTTTCAACGTCTCCGCTACTTTGGTCCAAACTGCTGGAAACAGGCTCCAGCGATTCCACCCCGTTTTTACTTCCACTCGTCCCCACTATTCCTTCCGAAGTATGCGATTCCTCAAAAGTAACGTCTTCGGGTAATGCAATAGATCGAGTGATTTCTTTATCAGACATATCCTTTTCCTCCTCCTCTTTAATGTTCCCCAGATCATGATGCATATTGGCTCGATCGACAGCGGTTTTGATGTCACGTAAGTAATCGACGTTGTACTCTGGGGATATGTACTCCCCAAAGGGATCCGCACAGTGCTGAAATGCTTCTTCTTCCTCGTGTCGCGTTTCGTGATGTACACGACGTGAAATTGCTCTTTCCGAACGAGGAACATCATCCATTTCCTTGAGTACTTCGTCGTCGTTCTCGGGTGGTCTGTCTGGGATGATCACGGTGGTTACCGATTCTGGTATCTCGCAGGGGGAACCTTCTGTGAGAATGAAGCAGGAAGGGTCGATATTCTTGGGGGAATGGACGGATAAAGTTTCGGAAGCGTCTGATTTTTTTCGACTCGATTCAGGAGAGGTTGAAACAGTCTCAACACCTTCATCGCCTCCTCGTGTGTCGACAAATCGACTTTGTTCTTTGGGCGAATCCCTCTTCGCCGGTTCCTCTTCTTCCTCTGTATGTTTTTCATTGCTCGAGTCGGGGAGAATCGTTTCGTTTCCAAGTACAAAGCTCGACGCCACTGACTCTGAATTCGGTGAAAGTTTGACTACAGGTGAAGTTAAAGTTGAGTCGTCGTGGCGTGTTACGCCTCTTCCAGAGGAGACCAGCGTGTTTTCGATATTCCTTTCCACGGTTTCTATCTCAAGCAATTTTTTCTTGAGCTCGTTCGATTGCGGATAATCGAGCTCTGGCTTTAGTGTCTCACTTTCTCGCTCAGCATCGACCACTGTGGATGACTTCTCTTCTGGACGCTCCAAAGAGTCAGGTCTTTGAGGAAATTCAATGGAATCGGGTGTAACGTTCAAACTATCCTTGAAAACCTCGTCGATTTCCCCTCCCCGTGGGTCTGGAGATTGAGAAACTTCCAACTCTTTCAAAATCTCCCTGTCACTGGTATCTAGTTCATCCTCTGGTTCATCCTCTTCGAAGCTAATAGTACCTTTGTTATGTTCATTCTCGCATTCGTTCTTGACCGATGCGTCCACCGAATCGTGATCAGAATTCGTAGATTCAGGATTACCTAGAATATCCGAATTCTGTTGAGCATCCGTAGCCTTTGCCAAAGACGGTAACGTTAGGTCGTTCTCTATCTTGATGGGCTTCGACGCATCGCTAGAAATGGGTGGCAAGATTAAGTTGGTAGGGTCGTTTTGCTCGACGGATTCGCATGCGTCGTTTCGCGAGCTACTTCTAGAGTATCTGCAGGAAGATTGCCTCCTAACAACTGAAGGAAGAACGACGGACGTCTCCATGGATTCTCGATTCGTTAACGACTCATCCGCTGCGTTTCCATCGTCGAAGACTCTGTCGTTATCCTTCGACTCCCTTTCGTCCTTCTCCAGTCGTAGGTTCAACTTCGCAAGGACAGCTTCTGCATTTCGAACGCTAGCACTTCCAAACCTCTCCTCTAACTTCTTCTCTAACCGATTTCGAGAGATTGTTGAATTCTCTCTATTCCCCATTACTCGTCGCCACGATTCTTCAGCGTCGAATCCATTTCTTTTCGACCTAACGTTCACCAGAGATTGACTTCTTCTTGGATCGGCGGCGTGCCTCTTTTCGGTTGGAACTTCAGACGAGCAGGTCCTTTTAATTTGATCGGCACTCTTCTGCCGTTTTAAGGTGTTCTTGTTTCCAGAATTTTCTACGTATTTGGGTTCTTTCTCTGATGTATTGGTACCTATAACAGTATGTTTAGGTCTGGAAAGGGTTCTTGATCGGTAGTGTAGTATAATCTATCGGTAACGTGGTCCGTTTTGTTGTTTGAACTCGATAATGTAGAACACTCTGGTGATAAATCCTACCACCATCTTGGGTCCTACATTATCGAGACTTATCGACAGAGTGCCCTACGTTATCCTCGAGAACGTTAAATAAAATGAAACATATACCTGGCGGTCTATGCTGAAGAGTAATAGTTTTTGCAAGTATATCTCCAGCAGACGAAGACCTGAGAAATCTACACCGGGTCATCCTTTTCGAAGAGGGTGGTGAACATTGTTCAGGGATGCTATGAACTTCCTTTTTGATCGCTTTCTCAGGCATTCGCGTGTTCCCACGTTTCTTCTTTCTGGCATCATTCTCGCAGTCGTGTCTTTTGATTACCTTGACGGTTTCGTTAATAGACCAACCGCTTCTGTTCGTCGCCTCCTTTCTTCTCCTCGATAGCTTCGTCGTTGTAGCAGGTGTTCTTCTTGGTTCCTCCGCAATTTCTTCGACTACATTGATGACCTTTCGATCGTCGTGATACCTGGAATCATCAGGATCGACGCGATCGGTCCAGAGGATACAATCTTGTCCGTTGCACGATAGCCGGTCGGATGTTTTCGAAATGATTCCAGCGATGCGCTCTTTTTCTCTCAATTTGACCAACTGTTCGAAATGATGCGCCGCGAATGTATAAATATCTTGAGGTCGGTGACGCAGAATTTCCCGTGCAAGTCCTTCGACTGCTGGAGCTAAGCCTCGTGGTATTTGAGGAGCTATTACGAAACCCGTTTCCGGCAGTGCCATGTTTCAAATTTCCTACCCCTACGCGTGTAGTACTGCTTACTTTTTATCTTGATTATCTCTCATAGGAAAGTAAAAACACTGTACAACTATGTATTTATAGGTGAATAAAAAATTGATCGATGTTTTATATTCGCATTTTTATGGCACAAACGGCTTGTTCCATTGGCTTTATCGTCACTTCTTTCACCATGCACCTTTTTAACGATTATCAAAGTCAATTTTCGATGGTTTTGTTTCTAGAATGTAATTTTCCCGTTCATGAATCGAAGACATTCGACGACGATGTAACCTTGGTGCGAAGCGAACGCGTAAAACCTCGTCGAATCGATCGCCCCTACCGTTGCCAACAACGTTCTTTACCCTGTTTGTTGGTGTACGTTTTATGAGTAATCATAACGTATATATAAAATTTTAATTTCTCTGCATAAGCAAATATTAGTAAGAAGTTTCTTAAATAATAGAGCAATTTTGCTGTTGGATTCGTGTTTGTGAAAAAAATGTCGATGCAACTATGATTATGATTCTTCTATTATTATTTTCAAGACTGAGATAGAAACTAGGATGGGAAGGAAGAAAAACGAAGAATGCACTTTTTGTCAATAGTCTTATTTTGAAGGTGCTTCATTCCGAGAATCTGTCGTATTATTAAACATATTTTCATTTAATGCATATTGGGCTAAAAACTCTGATTCAAGAGGGTGTAATTTCTTTGCAGGGATAATTAAACAATGAAGAGGTGGACCAAGGTCAACTGAAGCCATTTCTTGAAGAGAAGAGGCAATGATACGTTGGTCATCCCATCCAACACGTGCCAAGCCAATTGCCAAGCTAGATTCATTAAATGCTGCAAAATAATAAAATTCGTTTACTCCCTCCTTTTTATATTGATTAGAAAATACATTTACTCTACCTACCTAATTCCTCTTGAGTTTCCTTGGCTTTTTCCTGGAGTGTCTCAATCAGTTGACCAGCAGCCTCTGATACAGTCATAAATCGTGGTGGCATATATTCCTTCTTCTTCTTAGTTATACTCTCTAGAGTAGGCTCCTTTACTTTGATATCTAACAGACAAAGAGTGTGCAAGTTTCTTTGTCTGTTAGATGCAATTTTATCATAAAAACTACTGGGTCTCCAATCTTCATTCCAATATGGAATAGAAACAGTTTCTCCAAAGTGATATAGCTGGAGACCGCAACAGCCAATGGCAGTTAAAATAGAGGCATTGTGAATTACTTTTACCTAAACAAAACAATGAAACTTTTTATCATTGATTCTTTTTAATAATCTTCATTACATTGTACAAATGTTATTCTTTCTCACCTCTATGTTCTTCTCTCGAGCTCGCAATACCAAGTCTGAATGCGTTGTGGCACCAAACGGATCGCCAATGACCAGAAAAGCAACAGTTTCTTTTTCATTCTTAGGAAGTATCTCGTCTGCATTACTCTCGACTAGTTCTCTGTCTGCCTCGAATATTGGACGTCCATAGAATTGTTCCTAATTCGGTGAAACATGCTATCGTTGGTTTCCTGTCGTCACACGAAAAAATGCGACACGACAAAGTCGAGTATCGTTTCGTGCAAAGCCATTACACGTATTCGAGAAATGTATATCTTTTATTTTTCATTACTTACCAGATCATCCAATTTAACAGGCAAAATTGATGTGTACGATTCCAGGTAGACACGATCGCATTTTCGAATAATTTCAAGACCCTTCACGGTGACATCCGTTGCATCGCCAAGGCCCAGTCCAATCACGTGTAACATTCTCTTTATGTTTTTTGTATCGTTTACGCGATACTGTTTGTCCGATTAATATAAAACTCAGTAATACGATGCAATATGATTTTAAAAATTAAACCACGTGTGTGCCTATTATACATACACGTATAATATTTGTACGCTGCGATTCATGGACACAAATTTGGTATCGCCATCTAGCGGTCAATAAGCCGAACTAATTTTTCGAGGTTATGTATATATTATGGTATTTTCCTTATAATTAACTTACAATAAAATTAAATAATAAGTGTATAAAATAATAAAATGGTTAGCGCCTGTGAAATTATGTAAAATTTATCATTTTTTAAAATATTTTATTTAATATATATAAGGCGCCATCTAGCAGAAAGAGTAGGAACTATTTTTACTAGAAACTTGGGCGTTTTGCCACCGATGGCGCTACTATATACTACTATATATATACATATACATATATATACGTATGTAAACATATGTGACCAAACAATTGTCATCTTTAATAGTAATTACAGTATACAATTTATTCCTTACAGCAAACAAGATTTTTAATAAGTGATAGAATCCTGGTTACAAACGTATTTTTTGTAATCAATACTTGTAGCTGATCACATCGATTTTGTTATCGAAAGCAATACACTCCTAACCTTATAAAATTTAATTTTCAATCTTAATACTTCTCTTCTTTTTATATTGTATAACATTAATAAACAATATGGCACATTACAAAGGAGCAGCCAGCGAAGCTGGCCGAGCAATGCAATTAATGAAAAAGCGAGAAATTGCTCAACAAGAAATAGAGTTAAGGAAAAAGAAGATAGAAGATGATTTGAAGATTCATAATATAGAAAACAAATTTGCAACCCATTACAATGCTGTAGAACAACAACTAAAGACTTCCACTATTGGTTTAGTCACTTTGAATGAAATGAAAGCAAAGCAAGAAAATATAGTGAAGGAACGCGAAAGAAAACTAGCTCAAAAGGAACGTGAAAAAGAACAAGAGAAGGAGAGGGCTCTTGCTGCTAAGCAAGCTGAAAAAAATAAGCAGAAAAAACAAATACAAGCATTGTCCTTTAACTTAGATGAAGATGAAGTAGAGCTTTCTGATGAAGAAGTGGAACCAAAGATAGAGAAGACAAAAGAGGACGATAATGGACCAGTAATAAAAAAGATAAAGAAAAATCCAGATGTGGACACAAGCTTTCTACCTGATAGAGAAAGAGAAGAAGAAGAAAACAGGTTGAGGGAGGAGTTAAGACAAGAATGGGCTAGAAAACAGAACGCATTGAAAGAAGAAGAAATTGAAATCACTTTCAGTTACTGGGATGGGTCTGGACACAGGAGAAGTGTTATCATGAAGAAAGGTAAAGGCCTAATTATTGTTGTAGTCTGTATCAATTTATTTATGAAAATGAAATGATATTTTATAGTATAATGAGAATTTCTTCAAAATGATTCTATACTAATTGTTATTAGTTTGTACTGTTGGCAGGTAATTCTATTTATCAGCTACTTCAAAGATGCTTAGAAGTTTTAAGACGCGAATTTAGTGAACTTAAAACAGTTATGGCTGATCAACTGATGTATGTGAAAGAAGATCTTATTTTACCACATCATTATACATTTTACGATTTTATTGTAACAAAGGTAAGTTTCACACAAGGTAGACAAAAATGAAGTAATTTCGTTAAGTTTAAGAGTCATTTATTGGTACTCATTTCAGGCAAGAGGGAAGAGTGGCCCTCTATTTACATTCGACGTTCACGACGATATTCGCGTGATGCATGACGCTTCTGTCGAAACAGAAGAATCTCATGCTGGAAAAGTATTACTTAGGTACTAAATTCTCTTAACGCGAATGATGTTATGTATATATTTTTGTTTTCAACGAATAATTATTTCCGATTTTAGGTCTTGGTATGAAAGAAACAAACATATATTTCCTGCTAGTAGATGGGAACCATTCGATCCAACGAAAAGTTACGATAAATACACGGTTTCCGATAAAAATAAGAAAAAAGATAAAATGTAATGGAAATTGCATAGGAAGTCAACAATATGTATTGTGTTCAGTATGAAATGTTCTAGGTTAATTCGAATGTATATTTAATTGTAGTGACTTGAAGGTTATAATTTCTCCGTTTTGTAATCAGTAAAGTTACTGAATAGGCTACTTCAAATGGAAGCTGAATATCTCTGCATATTTTATACACTTAATATAATGTATAGCAATTTTATTAAGCCGTTCATTAGAAAAATATTTTGTATGCATTGTAAATAATATTAAAGATATTTATATTCTGAAGATCTCATTTATTCCTTAACACTTCATTAAATACGTGACAATACTAGCAGCAATATGGTATTGTTTCGAAAAAGTTGTAAAGGTAAGATACGAATCATACAATTTTAGAAAAGGAGATCTGTTTTATATGGTTTCGTCATCCTCGGCGACTTTTAAAATTGACGATGGGTCAACGATCTGAGCTTCCTTTATTACTTCATCTAGAAGTTCTTTATCGATATCTTGCAAAGTGTTTATTGTTGGTATGCTATCTACTGTCGACATTATAGTATTCGTAGATATGCTATCGTGTGCCTTTATAAGTTGCCCTCGATCATTGCAAGAATCCTCATGACAAACCTGTTTTAATTTTTTCAAGTGTTGTCATTAGATACTTTTGGATAACTACTTCGTTACTCACGGAAACTTTTTCGTCCAATTCTAGCAGCACTTTTTTGGTTTCTTCGTCTATGATATATGGATTGCTATCAGAATCAATTATTTTAATGTGATTTACTGCATTGAGATTCGTGTTATCTTCGTTTCTTAATGCTTGCTGCTTGGAAT